TTGACATAGTCGAAAATCTCTTGAAGGTTTATCATTGTTGTCAGAGATTGTCGAGTCTGGCAGCAAAGTTTGCCAGGGAACCATCCGTAACACCTCAGAGTAGGCAACCTCCCACAACACTAAACACGACCTGGAAGGAAAATGGCACGAGAAAATGTGTAATGAAACTGCTGGTCGGGAGTAAAGTTAAATTTGCCAGTGAAAATATAGCTAGGATAAGAGGGGCAATATCAGAGATGTAAAAATTCACATTCAAAATAAGCTAACAATGAGAAAGAAGTAAAAGAGAAACTTACATCGTGTTTAAGGTGTTGTTGCCCAGTGCAAGCACTGGGCGAGAGGAGCCTAACTCAGGAGGCGAACTTCAGGAACCCCAGCGCACCCGCATACTAGGAGATCGGCTGTACTTCCTAGCCCGTCATGCCATTGTACATGCCTAAATTATTTGTTATATAGTAGTGTTGAAAGTATTAAAACAAGTAAAGCAAGTACCGGGTAATAATCACCTCTCCCATGTCCATGGTATGTAGTACTTTATTTCCTCCAAGAAATTATTTATTTAGAGCTCCTTTTGACTTGGCTAGAACTATACATGGGAGGCCCCGGTTATATCAAGAGAGTCCGTTTCGGAAGGTTCTGAACCCACGATTGAGCGTCTTAAAACTTTTGTTTTATGGAAATTATAGTTTTGCTAGAATTCAGAGTTTCATGTTACTTCTTATTTAATTTAGTGCGGTTAATGATTATAATTCAGACTTTCAATTTTGGTGGGTTGACACAAATTGAAACGACAATATAGAACAAAATATAGAACAACTAATGGTAGTATAATTAATGAGCGAAAACCTTCTTAAATTGAAAGATGTTTGTATAACAATGGAAGTAACCTTTTGATACTATACTAATTAATTGACACGGTAGAAATTCTTCTCATAACCTATTTAAAGGAACTCTAAGTCTATGTTGGTGCAATCACCTTTTGATAAGTCTCTCTCTGAGAAATAGTGTAGGAGGGCTGGAATATCACGCGTCTTTGACTGAGTCTCACCGTCAACAGTTTGACTGTCACGAATGGTCTGAAAGCAATATCTTTTAACTATGGCAATAGAAACAATTTATTACGTAACCAACGGGAAACTACTTTAATCCTGCACTCGTAAACATTAATATAAAAGAAATATCAATTCTTACAGCTCTATCAACCAATACTTAATGAACTTAATTATTAAGACAACTACTATTTTATGCTGACGTTATAACTGAACTAATTACCTCGGTTGACGAAGGAGAATCAATTATTCTAGCAGGTATCGGCAAAGGCAGCACGGTTTGAGCAGGAATGTTCGTGTCTCTCTACCTGGGAACGGAAACGTAATTTTGTACAAAGTATATAATTTTGAGAGCACAGAACTACGATTACCAAAGATATTCTTAAACCTATTTATGTAAAAACTAATGGAAAAGGAATTTACCTCGAGAACAACTTCAATCCGTATAATGGTCCTTCAAGTGAGAAGGAGATCGGGAATCTTATCGTCGTTAGCTTACTTTTACCCGGAAACCTTGGATAAAAAGTAATCAAAGAATCATGCAAATTACTCTTACGAGGATTTAAGATGGCAGAACGTTAGACAATTATGAAGGATAATTTATTTATGATAAATGGAATATTAATTATTTGGAGGAGGTATTATATGTATCTTCTGCTAATCAAGTTGCACTTACTTACTAGTCACTGTTCTTTAATGTACGGGGGAATCTATTCGATGTGACGGATCGGATCCACTGCAACCTGGTAAGAATTTACTTTTAGTGTACTGCATAGAATTTATATGCCTAGAGGGTACGTGAATAAACACTAGAAACATTGTAAATATAACTTTCACGTCAGACTCTTTTAATAAGAAACAAAATACTAATTTAAACGGCGAACAGTAATTTAAAGCAAGGAACTTACTGGAATACTTATGACTGGAAAGGTTAAAGCACCCGGGCGGAACCGGCTTACTGGACTCTGTTTACAAGCACGTTGCACTGACACAACCTAACAGACTGCCCTGACGTGAGAAAGACATCGGTCCTTCGATCGTTCTCCGCTATATCTCCCTGAATTTCCCAGAGTCTATTCTGCCGTTCCAGCCTTTTCTCAGGGAACGCAGTATTGTTCATCACGATCGAAATTGCTCCTCCTTGTTTAAACTCCCTGCTTATCATTCCTCGTCACGCTTCGTCTTGTGATAGGCTGGTCTTGTGCTCCTAATTAACCCCTCCATAAGTCCGTGGTAACTCATCAAGCGTGTCAAATGATTTGATAGTTTTCTCACAGAAAGTGTCCTTTTGTTAATTAAACGTCAACGTATATTTCATTTCTGGTATACTTCTATCGTTAACAAATTTACTATCTATCCTCTATGGAAATGGTTGTTAACTATAAGCCTAAGTCATTTAACTATCTTTAAAGGAAGATTGAAATTAATATAGAATTTCGAGGTTCCTTACAATTATTTATTAACAAAAAACATGGACCCGGGACCGTTCGTTACTGACTCAGAAATAATATTCATATCTGATATCATCAGTCCTATATTATAAACGGTTTAATTGTTCAAAGAATTTAAACAATATTTGTATAATAATTTAGCTTATGTTTACCTTGTCACACTATAATTAAGTTTAACATGTAACGGAGTAAATATGGACACGTGTCCCTTGCTGCTGTGTCTAACCAAATTTCCGAGTTTCCAGTTGATAGGATGGGTACATACGACCATTACCTACATATTTGACGACTTTTTTTGTTGAATGGTGCGCCCAGATTCACTCTGTCACACATTGACGGATGTTAATCGTCTAAATTTCTTCGAAGTAGCGCGCGCCGGGCCAAACCATTATAAACAATGGTCAAGCGCCGGACCACTGACCAGACCATTAACAATGGTCAAGTGATACTCTTAAAATATTTCTTTCAAACACAACACAAAACACGCGACGAGTTCAACTCGGCGCGTGTTTTGGTTGGTTATGAACCTACAAACTCCTGAGCGTGACGCTCTCAGGGTGAGTGTAAGTCGTAGGGTTGTTTGTTGTTAGTGTTACCATTGCTTGTTAAATAAAAAACCATTACTTTAGCTTTACGGCCTTGTTTACTTGGGGGCCAACTGAACGTGTTTTGCTAAAGCCTAAATCGAGGGTGCTAAATCATTCTACAGACCCCAGCAGACCTTACTGGCTGGCGATATTACTACAGGTGTTTGCGTCTTCACAGCTTGTTGAACTCCGCGCGCGCTCGTTAGTTCATTGCATTTGCACGCTTCAATTATTCCAAGAATGCAATTGAACCACGTACCACGTGATACGATTCAGCCAATCAGAGAACAAGAATCTGCAAAGTTAAAGCTGCGCACTTTTATAAGGCCCAAAATAAGACTTTTCGCGATTATTCAAAATCTACGTTGTCTTAAAATTTCCTCCTGGGGAGGAAACGTTATTTTTACAAGGCGAATATTTTGTTGAAAACCAGACATTTCTATCTCTTTTATTTTCGAAGTTAGGCCCCTACCAGTAAGGTTTCTTGGGCCATAAAACCAACGCGCAAATTGAAGACTTTCGCTTTCATTTTTAAAAAGCTTCCACTTCGACAAAGCATAAGTCGCCACCAAATAAGTCAAATTTCAATTTTAAAATACCAAAAGAAACTAGAGAATTTTGTCAACAAGAAAGGGGACTCCTGGATGGGGTAGTAAAAACGCGATCTTCACCTTCAAAATCGACTTTTAAAATTTCATACTTTTCCCCGTCAAAATAAGCCTTATATTAAAATATTCCCCCCCTCCCCCTTTCTGAACTTCCTACCCCCCCCCCCCCCCCCCCCCCCCCCCCCCCCCCCCCCTTTCGTGTGCTCTCTTTTTCTGCAGCTTTCCTGAACTGATCTCGGCTTTTACATACCCAGCAGACCTTACTGGCTGGCGATATTACTACAGGTGTTTGCGTCTTCACAGCTTGTTGAACTCCGCGCGCGCTCGTTAGTTCATTGCATTTGCACGCTTCAACATTCAATTATTCCAAGAATGCAATTGAACCACGTACCACGTGATACGATTCAGCCAATCAGAGAACAAGAATCTGCAAAGTTAAAGCTGCGCACTTTTATAAGGCCCAAAATAAGACTTTTCGCGATTATTCAAAATCTACGTTGTCTTAAAATTTCCTCCTGGGGAGGAAACGTTATTTTTACAAGGCGAATATTTTGTTGAAAACCAGACATTTCTATTTCTTTTATTTTCGAAGTTAGGCCCCTACCAGTAAGGTTTCTTGGGAAGTCTTCCAACATGAACACTAAGCCGTTTGCTTGTAAGAAAAGGCGCTGAATTGTTGACGGATGTTACTCGTCTAAATTTCTTCGAAGTAGCGCGCGCCACTTTCTTCTGGCAAGTGCTACGAAGTTGTGCGCGCCGGGCTAGACCATTAATAATGGTCGACATTGGTAATTTCGAGGGAAGAGTAAGTTTAATTAAACCACCACATCTGTACACTTTACCCGGGGACCTCAGGCTATTATGTTCATAAACATATATAGAATAGAGATTCGGCGGAATGACAGGCTGAGCGCGGCCCAGTAACTGTACACTGTAAATGACATGAAGATTATTAAACTGTTTCTAAGTTGAGCAATTTTTTGATGTTCACATGCAGTTCAGCTGACAAAGATGATGCTCAAAGAACTTATAAAGACAGTGCGACAATTTATGTTAATCTATTGTATGATTTAAATCGTAGTAATAATTAGTCATAGAAAATTGAAATGTTACCTGGCCTTGGGACCTCAGGCTATTATATTTATGTTCATAGAATAGAGATTCGGTGGAATGAAAGGCTGAGCGTGGCCCAGTAAATTAAAATGGTGATAAACTTTAGTCAAATTTTTTACATAAATCTCAATTTCAAAATATATGCTATGTTACAGTCTGCAGCTGTGCTATCACCTGATAACCAACATCTTTTTACTCCTCTGGAAAACTCGCCTTCACAATCCTCACCAAATCATTTTGCTCCCAAGCAACAAGTCTCATGACAGGATCATTAAATACCTGACCATCATAAGTGAGACTATACGTCATACCATTACATGTTTTATCTTGCACCCAACACAGCAGCTCCTCTAGGAAGGATAGCATGCATTCCGGTTTCCACTCGTTTGTTCCAATCTCCTCCAGATCTTTCATCGTGAATTTCTGTATTTCTTTGAGGTCTCCTTCTTCTGTTCTGTATCCAATGTAGACCGTGTCTATTCCAATAGGAGCACAATGAGCCCAAATATTCCTGGATTTGAATTTTTTGAAATTTACACGTTGCTTATCTGTCTCACTTATTGCTGTTTTAAACTCTACGTAGTTCTCCAGGACATCCTGGTGATCCCCGGGTAATTGACAGCCGATACTGGAGTTGGTTAGCAGCTTCAGAGATCCTAGTTGGACAAGTCGTGGCATCCTGACATCCAAATCCTCGCAAGCGTATCCGGACGTTCTTCTCCCTCCCGTCCTCATCACGTCCTCGAATACTTTACCCCAGTCTGCGTACCGTTCATTACCTGGCCAAGAAACATAGGGTTTATCGGCACTTTCAAGGTACAGGGTGTTGTTGTATCTGTATAGATTAACCTTCCACCCCTGTCTTCTATTGTAGGGAGTCTGACACAACTTTTTTATCAAGCTTCTGCCAACCACTATGTCAACTTCACACATACTGTAATTCACAGCTTCAGCCCATCTCAAGATTTTATCAACCGATGAGTAACTCGGACTCGGCTGGGATGGTGCCTTGATTCTTAAACTCAGTGGTAGTTGAGTGGGAACTTCTAGTTGAGGAATTCTGCACATTTCGGGGATATCGTCACCAGAGTGTACTGACCACACTGTCATGGGCTCCTCTGGGTTCAGGTCGTTGAATCTGCCTACTTCTCTAGCACTGAGCTGTCTCGTGTTTGTGCCACGATACTGCCCTCTGTTTCGGACTAACAGCTGCTCACTAGTCATATCTGCTTTCCTGGTAATAGACAATAGTTCATTCGCCGTGTGAAATGTTTACTTTGACCAGCTATCAAATTATGCCAAACAAAGTTAAAGTAAGAAAACTTAATACCATATTTTTTAGGTAAACCTCAAAGTCTTGTAGTAAGCAAGGATGGCCCAAAAATACTGACGTTCTGGTGACCAATATCACAATATGTACAATCTGTAGCAGTTTCTCAATTGCTGTCCGATAAAATTGAAACAGAAAAAGCGGAACAACGTAACATCTTACCTGACGTTATTTTACCGGAAATTTCGTGAATGGACATAATTTTGAACGGACATTAAAATGAATGTTAGGGCATCCAGTGTCCAATTAATTTCCGTTCAAATAAAGTCCGATAAGGTATGTCATGAGCTTGTAATACAAAGTGATCGAGAAAAAGGATACACTGTCAAAACAGTAACCACAAACCAAATCTTGAAGAAACATTCTGATAAGAAAATGTCGAGTTTGTAATATAAAAGTAAAACGATTGAGCATATAATTATAATATACTCAATCGTTTGTATATTAAGTATAATTATATGCAATATGTATCTATATTATATTTTAAACTTGACGAAATCCCCCGACCAATACAAAAACCGACTCTCTGGCGTGGCCAATTTCAGCTCGCAAATGTGAAATGGAGTTGAACTTGAACGCGACATAATTTTGTTAAATTTGGCGAGATGTTTTGGTTCCCCGATTTAGCGTAAATTTAAGGTAGCCCTGTTTAGAGCTTTTTAATAAAACAAATATTTTTTAATAAAACAAATATTTATTTTTACGGCACAATCAAACAATATCAATAATAAATAAATCAGGGGAGGTTTGAAGAGGTTTCAAGTGCCGAAGGCCACTGCTTATCTTTAGGATTTGAGAGTGACCTGTGCTTGAAACCCCCTCAACCATCCACTACGTCAATATAAAACTTATTATACAAATATAGAAAAATATAATTATCTAAGCTAAAATTGCTTATTGGTCTAGTTTGGTGACATAGGAGAGCCCAGTTGAGTTTTAGTTTAGGTTTATGTTTTAAATCATAGTTTGAAAGGTTAGCCATGTTTCATGGCAGAGAGAGATATCATGTGTGCAGAGCCGTACCAGATGTAGAATTTGAGATATAATATAGATTAGTTACCATATATTAGGGTCACCTCGATTTTGGAGGGATAGCAAGTGCTTTTTAAGGTTAGATTTAATAATACCTGACGAGGCTGATAAGTCTGAATTTTTGGAAGACCCCGGGATTATTATCCCATCTACATTAGCATCACATATTTCTACTCTAAACCCTTGGAGTTGGTGTAGGGCTCATCGAATATATCTCGGAACACGGGAGGACCTGCCAGTAATTTATTTTTAAGTTAAATGTTGAAATTCGTCCGTAACGGTAAAGTATGTTTCATCGTACAAAATGTGTTCAAAATGTGTATATTATAAACTTAAAGCATGATGTCAGAGAGATCAGGAAAGCGAAAATTACTGTTAGATAATATCTAAATATCGAGAAGAAGCCTTGGATAGCATTACCATAGCTGTATATACTACACTTTCAAAGTATTAATTCACCTTAAATTTTCGAAAAAAGTTGCGTACAAATTCAAAATTTCTGATGGAAACGAAACAGCGCGCAAAACGAGGTCGACTGACTGAAACATTTTTCACGTGCAATGCGCGTGCCACAGTCTTCTTGGCACCATTTTACTGAAACTCTGGTTGTTTTGCGATTAATTTGTAGCTCGAGTTATATTTCAAAGTGTGTGCGGGTTGGCGTGTTTCTGACTTGTCCTATAAGTATATTATTATTATTGCGTTTATCAAATACACGGATATATTTGTAAATAATCCATACTTCCCATACTTATTACTTTATGCTATCGTTTGAAAAAGTTATTTGTACATAGATTCCAGAAGTTTCCATGATTGCATTATTTCGATACAATTTATGATAAGCTTTTGAAAACAGTCCGACGCTGAGCCCAAATTTCAGCAAAATAACGCCGTTTTTTTCTTCGGACACTTTTTTGATTCAAGGCGGTTTTCAAAAGGCGATATCTCAGGAATCCAAGATTTTCGACAATTATGCCTGTGTGCTCTGAGATCAGCATGGCTATATCTAACTAATGATACCAAAAATTTGTAAATCCGAGAAACTAAAAATGTTTCGATGACGACCTACAACCTAGTTGAAACCTAGCCATTTTTAGAAGGGTTGTAAAAAAAAGGATACGAATAGAATATAGCAATTAGCATTCTCCTAGTCCTATGATCATGGTATAAATGTCCGTTATGTAAAAGTTGTTCTCTCACTCTCGTTTACGTTAATATAATGTAACTTACCCATTGTGATAACTACCCATGCGATAACTACCCATGATGCATGAGATAACTATGTTCTCTCATGGGTCCTACATTTAGGCTGTGATTAACAGGTAAATAGTGGTGTGATAACTCCTGATCTCCCACTGGTGTTAACAAATGTTTAATGCCGAATAAATGTTGTAATGAGGACTAACCTATTATAACCTAGGTATGATATCTAACGAAGCAATGAACTATATACAGAAAAGCAGATTAATTTCATTCATGGTAACTAGATAAACTGCAAGCTTTAGGATGCCACATCAGCATTTATCGTGAAAAAACGGTTATCGATGCAAGCGCAGTAAATCCACAGCCAAATAATTATAACCAAAGCACATTTGATTAAACGAAGTTCTCACTGCAGTAATATCTTATACTTATAGTTCCTTATCAAAACAAGATAAGGATGCGTCCTCTAGCTCTAGAAAGTTTGACTCTGGAATATTATAAATATATGTAGATTGTACTTGTAGAATATTATCGGTCATTATTTTCCGATGTAAATGCTGCGTTCGCTAGCATCATTTCGTATGAAACTCGTCAAACTCGTTCATGGATAAAACATGTTGTCACACTCCAAGCAGTGATGTAAGTATAACTGCTTATTCTTACTTCGCATCGAGATCGTTGCTCTGCTAATTCGCAGAAAAAAATCAACAAATTTCGTCAAATTACGCGACTTTTACACTGACTTACTCTTAGTCTTACCGAAGCTCCAAAAGCCGCGCATCATTAAATATGGCACCATGAGTGGCGTAACGTTGCCTGTTGGCCCCCCCCCCCCCCCCCCCCCCCCCGTCGAAAATGTGCCCCCTGTTGGCGCCTCTCCCCTTTTGGCGCGCCTCCCTAAAATTGAACAAATTAGGTGATCTTAGAGGATACGCCGGTAATTGTAAATCTCTAAAAAGTATGTTTCTAGAGCAAGAAACGCAGTTTTATTTTGCTAATAGTACTAGTAGTAGTACCACAGTTAAGTTTTTCGAAATTGTCCCACATTCAAACGACAATTTTGCGCCCCCCCCCCCCCCCCCCCCCCCCCCCCCCGCACAGCGGGGTAAGCGGGGCCCTTCGTTACGCCACTGTATGGCACCTAGGTGAAACTCGTTGATCATTCCAAAAAGGTATGCTATGAACATTGAACAATTTGGTATTGTGAAAAGGCTCACACTCTCTAGAAAACAATGGTACAAAATTTTGAAAATCCAAGTAAGTTTATTTTTTATCATGCCCTCCTAAATAGAGTAGCAAGCTAAGCAATCACGTGCATTAAGGGGGATTTCATTTCACTGTTATGTCATGTATGTGTTAACTGTTAACGTCGTTATGTAACTTACTAGCTTGCTAGTTTATTGCTCGATTATCTGATCTCACTGGCATGGATGTGATTTTTACAATAATGTAAATATATTGTTTGCTCTAATTCTATTAAAATGAAGATAAACACAAATTGTGCGCTAATATTTTACATATTTTTTACTGTTGTCAACTAACTTCAATTTTACAGGATCGTTTAACAAAATACATTTACAATTATGAATAAGTTTACTTGGCGACCCCAGGCTATAACTAATAACTATAAGTTAAAGTATAATGTTCATAAATAGAGATTCGGCGGAATGACAGGCTGAGCGCCGCCCAGTACACAGTAACAATTAGTTAGATGAAATCAATCGCCAAATTGCAAATCAATCTTAACAATTATGAATTACAAATTAAGTACTTTTCCCAAGAATCTGAAATCGATACCTGCATGGCAGTTGATCGTTAAACTTAATAGTTCTCAATGTGATTCATGACCACATATGGTAGAGCAAGGATTTCAATGTTCAGTAATTCGGCAACGGATATCCAGAAGTATTGATTAAACCGAAATTAATGATGTGGTTATGCAAATCAGTTAGTGTTACTTCATTAATATACCCATTTCTCAATTATATCAATTAATAGTAACGTTCTCATCCGTTCCTGAACCGAAGACTATTGACATCGTACCACGTGACATCATCATCAGTTTTATTATCGCCCGTTCCATTAGGAGTATCTAGATCCAGAGGTTTCACTTTGCAGCCTCTACTTTTAGTTTCCCGCTTCTTTTCCGTGAACATTATCGGCGACCTGAGGTCGGAGTTGTAAAATAATAACGTCATATATTGCAGGATCTATTGTTACGGTTAATAAAGGTTCTGTTTTAGTATAAGGTGCCAGGATTTCAAAGTGAACCAAGACACGCACATATTAATTATTTTTAAATATAACATTAGTGTCCCACTACTTCTCCCTCTGCCACACAGAAATTAATTTAAGTTGAGACAATGAAAATGGCTTAAAGACTACAAGATTTCTGTGTTGAAATTCAAGATGACGGATGGTCAGTTGTAGAACAAACTACCTCAGTTTTGTGGATTTTTTCTCCTTCCGTCTCCTTCTAGACCCACTCATGTCCAGTGCACCGTCAGCTATGTTGGTCACCATATCCTCCCAATCAAGCATTCCTGGGATCCCTGAAAAAGTAATCTGTTCACTTCATCTGTGTTCTGTATCAGTGCATGCTCGTAGCCTTTTTAATGGCTGTGTGTAAACTGATTACGGAGCGCGGGTTACAAATTTTCCAAAACGTGATTATGTTATATGTGACCGACCCCTGCTTATGATCATGTTCAAGTCTACCGACAACTGAAGTACTGAACACTGATTCTGGCGTTTTCCATGAACTGGGATGTTGAAAACTGGGAATGTTATTTTATTTGTGTAAAATTATTCGATATATTATTAGTATTAATATTACTTTTAGACACTTTGCGGTGAGTATAATTATTGACGATTTCTACTTTTTAGGACACAACAAAAATTGTGTCATATTCGCCTTGGTTTCGAGGGAAGAGTAAGTCTAATTAGACCACCACCTCTGTAAATTACATGAATATTATTAAACTGTTTCTAAGTTGAGCAGAATTTCACTGATGTTCAGCTGACGAAGATGATGCTCAGATAACTCATAAGGACAGTGCCACGATTTACGGTAATCTATATTATATATTGGCTGCATGATTTAAATTGTATGTCATAGGAAATGGTGACAAACTTGAAAATCTTTTTACATAAATCTCAATTTTAAAATATTTATTTAATCAATCGTTAATTTTATCAAACAAATTACATTTTTGAGTCTTCCATTTTATACGTAGTCAACAGTCTACAAACTGTACAATTTTCATTTTTCCATCCATGTCAATTAAGGTCCATACCAGTCCAATACCAGTCAAATTCGTCAGGACATACCAGTCCAATTCGTTAATGTTGGCTATATTACAGTCTGCAGCTGTGCTATGACCCCATCACCCGACATCTTCTTAATCCTCTGGAAAACTCGCCTTCACAATCCTCACCAAATCATCTTGCTCCCCAGGAACGAGTTTCACAGGATCATTAAATACCTGACCATCATAAGTGAGACTATACGTCATACCATTACATGTTTTATCTTGCACCCAACACAGCAGCTCCTTTAGGAAGGATAGCATGCATTCCGGTTGCCACATGTTTGTTCCAATCTCCTCCAGATCTTTCATCGTGAATTTCTGTATTTCTTTGAGGTCTCCGTCTTCTGTTCTGAATCCAATGTAGACTTTGTCTATGCCGAGAGGAGCACAGTGAGCCCAAAACTTCCTGGTTTTGAATCTTTCAAAATTTACATGCTGCTTATCTGTTTCAATTACTGGGGCTGTTTTAAACTCTACGTAGTTCTCCAGGACATCCTGGTGATCCCCGGGTAATTGACAGCCGATGCTAGAGTTGGTGAGCAGCTTCAGAGACCCTATTTGGACAAGTCGTGGCATCCTGACATCAACATCTTGGCAAGCGTATCCTGGCGTTCTCCTCCCTCCCGTCCTCATCACATCCTCGAATACTTTACCCATCACTAAAAATTTACCTCGCAGTAGATACGCCTGACCATCGTGTTGTTCGTCATCACTTTCAAGGTACAGGGTGTTGCTGTACTTGTATAATTTAAGCTTCCACCCCTGTCTTCTATTGTAGGGAGTCTGACATAACTTTTTAATCAAGCTCCTACCAACCACTATGTCAACCTCACACATACTGTAATTCACAGCTTCAGCCCATCTCAAGATTTTATCAACCGAGGAGTAACCCAGACTCGGCTGGGGAGGTGCTTCAGTTCTCAAACTCAGTGGTAGTTGAGCGGGAACTTCTAGTTGAGGAATTCTGCACATTTCGGGGATATCGTCACCAGAGTGTACTGACCACACTGGAGAGTTAGAATTAACCCAAATATCAGGGACACGAATGACTACTCCAGGATTTAAGAAACTAAACTTTTAACACTGAAAACATTCAGATTCTTGCCAAATATATTTCGATTGTAGTCATCTCCAGTGACATTGAACCTAAAAAATGTTAAAAGGTTAGTGAAACTCAAACCGTTACAAAATTAATAATCCGAAAAAGGTATCATTACTCTGCACCTTTTCAAAAATCTATGAGAAACTCATGCACAGAAGAGTCCTTGACTTCCTGGAGCGACATAGCACTTTATTTGAAGGACAATACGGTTTTCGGCCGGGTCGGTCGTGTGAACATGCGCTCCTTGATGCAACCAACACGATTAGACACAACCTCTCCAAAAAAGAGGTCTCTCTACTCCTCCTACTTGATTTTAGCAAAGCGTTTGATGTAATTTCCCACGATATTCTCTTAGACAAACTGTATCATTATGGCATAAGAGGACTAGCACACCAATGGTTCAAGTCTTATCTAAGTTCCAGGAGTCAGTATGTTTCAATAGGGGGCACAAATTCCTCCTCACAGTCCATGAGACACGGAATGCCGCAAGGCAGTATTCTAGGACCTTTACTTTTCATAATATATATCAATGACATGCCAAAAATCAAATCGTACGCTAAATTTGTTTTATATGCTGACGACGCAAACATAATTATCTCAGGTAAAAATCATCAAGAAATACTACAAAAGATGACAGAATTTTCACCTTTATTGATAAACTGGGTAGATCAAAATGGTCTTTCGTTAAACCTTAAGAAAACGTGCTACATGCTCCTCTCACCCAACAGAACCTCAACACCTGACGTAAATATTCAAATTGCAGGCACCACTATTGAGCGAAAAACTGAGGCCCGATTTCTTGGCGTAATTGTTGACGAAAAATTGACCTGGACCAGTCACATTACTGCTCTTAAAGCGAAAATGATGCGGTATATTGGTATTATGTACAAAATAAAAAGTCGGCTGCCGATTAAAGTTAGACTCCAGATATACCAAAGCTTTGTACAGTCTCATATAAACTATTGTTCATTGATATGGGGTTTTGCTGCAAAAAGCCATATAGATGCTTTATTCAGCAAACAGAAGCAAGGAATAAGGGCTATTATGCCTGGCTTCGTAAACTACTACTTTAAGGAAGGTGCCTTACCACAACACACAAAGCCATTTTTCAGTGAACATGAAATTCTCACTGTGCATGGTCTTATCGTTTACAACTCAATTATCTTGATGCATAAAGTTAAAAACATGCCACAATTAGTCCCCAAAAACATCTCTCAAGCTTTTCCCGCCGACATACCCACAAAACTTTCTGATCACACGTCAGCCTGCTCCTGGCTCCAGTTATACGGGAAAAGACACTTTCAAAACAGTATTTTCTACAAGGGACCACTGCTCTCTGTCTTCGCAGACAAAGCAGACGTTACTACACTTCCGACATTATTTTCGATAAATCTGTTCAAGACTAGTGCCAAGAAAATGCTACTTAATCTCCAAAGTGATGGTGATGTTAACGAGTGGCAACCATTCCTACTGCACAATGTTCCTGGCCTAAGACAGTCTAGACGTGAAATTTAAACTTTTAACATTTAACCTGAATCGAATTTCAACTGAAACGAATATAATCTAAGTTTAAATTAAGTCTATTGTCTAATTAATGGCTTGCAACAGGGAGCAGTATGAAAATCACACAACCCAGCACATAGAAACTACACTAAATGACACAAATTTAAATAACAACTTGCAATTACTGACTACCAATATAATAACCGCTCGCATAACTACCCCCACTTAGCGTAGATAAGCAAGCATTTCACTGCCGCTAAATTCTTCTTCCATACATTAATCTCAATCGCGCACTCATAATTACTGTAAGCGCTGAGTTACCGGCCAAAATCATTAATCACTGATGGTAAAATTTTGCACAAAATTTTAAAAACAATAGTCCAAGCTGTTCAGTGCAATTCTAAACTTCTTAACCTATAGGTTATGGATGTGTAATATCATGTGTAGCGTGAAGCGTTGTGTTTTTAAATCTGTAGTTCATAGTACTTCATGATCACAGTGTACTTTTTGATAAACCGTGTGCAGTGCCCTTTCCAGAGGGTTTTTTTTAATTTTTTTAAAGAATTCTTTAACGTTACTATTTTCTATCTATTACTGTTTGTATTATAATTTTGAGTAAACATTAATCGAGTAAACCGCTCGATTCCCAATCAGGTAAAAAGATCATATTAAGGTTTATGGAATATAGGTAATCCAAAGGGATTGACAGTATTAAGGCCAAAAGGTCTAAGAGAATTAAGCAAATGTATGTAGTTATTTTCTTTTACTTCAAGTGTACTGGGACTGCAATTCTCTAAAATAAAAGTTCTAAAAGTTTCATTAAAATCTGTATGTACTCCTAAACCGTGGTCAATCAAGTGAACTCCTAGGCTATACTCATCACTAGTAATATCAAATGCTCTACCATCAACGATTTCATAAAATTTGGACCTGTATCCGTCCATCCTTTTATGCAAGCTATTAATAGTCCTACCCACATAGTTTTTCTTACAAATCGAACACTGTACAAGATAGATGATGTTATAGGTCTTGCAACAACCAGGGGCTGATTTGATCTTTTTGCCATTTGATGTGATGGAGTCCTTATTCATGATCATTTTACAACACTTGCAGTTTCTTCTGTGACAGGGTTCAGTTTTACCATGTTTAGCACCTAAGGCAAGCTGTTTAGATGTAACGAGGCGAGATCTAAGTGTAGATCCCGTTTTCTTTACAAACTGAAACAGTTTATCTTTTCCTTTCGGTGCTGTGGTGGAGTTTGTGGCTTGCTGACTCTCACTTTCACTAAAACTACGAGTTCGTCTCAAGTGACCTTCGTATTTCTGGACAACATTCACCAAGTCATTGTCACTTCCATAACTGGAGATGACTCTGATTGGTATGGCTGATAGCGGGGATTGTTCATTAGGCTCGACCGTACTCTTCCTGACTAACACTCTTTCCATGCCAAGGACTTTGTTAGCTATGTTGTCAGCCATTTTACTAGGGTATCCTGATTCATGAAACGCCCGTTTGAGAATGTTAAGCTGGGTCTCTAATCTCTCCTTTGAATTGATTATCCTCCTGAGGCGTAAACACTGGGAGTATACAATTCCTGAGAATATGTGATTGGGGTGACTACTGCTGAAATGTAGGTAGGACCTGGAGTCTGTTTCTTTTACGTATAGATCAGTTTGAAGCTCTCCTTGATGGTCGAAAGTAAACTGTACATCTAGAAAACTGACATATTCAGCTGTATTTTCTGCTTGGAATTCATCTATTTCAAGGCCATCGGGAGCGATGTTTTCGTTGACCTTCTTTATCCATTTATCCATGCTGAAAACTGTCTGGTAGTACCTGTAAACTGACCTGCTCCGTCGTCAATATATCTCTTAACAGATGCTACTTGGTCCATTAGTGTGGGGTTTGAGTAGACTTCCTTGTTAAGGACATAAAACACAGCGATGTTTGCCAGTTGAACACATAGAGAACCTCCAGTAGGTACACCGTGTATTTGTTTGTACCAAGCATTCTCGAAAAAACCTATAGATGATTTTAGGCTGTGGTTCACCAAGTCAATTAGCCAAGCTTTGAAGTTCATAGACCAGTCGGGTCTTAATTGGTCCATGGCAAATTCAAGAGCTTCAATGACAAGGGAGGGGCTGAGTGAGTCGTAAAGGCCCTTGAAGTCAAAAGTAAACGGTTTATATGTTTTCTTTTCAACTTGGGGTTTATTAGAGTTGATTTCGTCGAGCCAAATTAATGCATCTGTTGTGTCTGTAAGGAGGTCTTGGCAGAAGTCTTTTTCCAGGGGTCTTAAGTATTTCGTGGCTACAAACACATCACTCTTTTTACTGATACCTTCTTGAAGTGCTGTAATAAGTCTCACTGGCGGTTCAACCCCTGGGATAAGTTGGTCTTTCCTCAGTTTGTGGACTTTCAAGGAGGGGTAAAAGTAGCTCTTTCCCGGTTTATGGTGGGGAGCTGTACTTGGCCTGTTGGTCGGGCCTGTGCCTGCCTTATTTGTGTTGTCTGAAATACCCATCACAGACTTTGCTTCTTCAGGTGTAATGAAGCCTCTTGTCTTACCTTCGACCCAAGTGTCAAAAAGTTCACCGTGGAGGGTATGGAGTGGGTCGGAATCAAGTTTCTGGTATAGTTGAGGATTTTCTAGTTTCTCAAGGGTCTTATTTCTCAGTAACTTGGGATCAACAATGAGGATGCTTCCTCCTTTGTCGGCTGGTGTTATTGCTATTATTCCATCTGATACCACACTGTTATGGGCTCTTCTGGGTTCAGGTCGTTGAATCTGCCAATTTCTTTAGCACTGAGGTGTTCCGTCCTTGTACCACGATAATTTCTTGGTCTTTGGACCAAGAGCTGTTCCTGGGCCATATCTACTTTCCTGATAATAGTTCATTCGCCGAGTGAAATGTTTACTTTGATCAGCTTATCTTGCCTACACATTTAAAAAAAAACGAAATTCCTTGCGCACCGCGTACTAAAATTACTTGGATTTCTACCGCTTTGATAAATGACTACATGAAGATGGGGAGTTAATATTGTTGATTTATATAATATAGATTATTTATTCTTTAGTGTAGATTAACTTTATTTTTATATATTTTACCAAGTGTGAAGGATCAACCATACGTTATTGATATTTTTGAAATATTTAATGATACATTGATATAATAATAAATGATTGTAATATTTTTATTGAGGCACATGCCACCCCATCGCGGGTTTACTACTACTACTACTACTAAGCTATCAAATTTATGCCGAACAAAGTTATGGTAAGAAAACTTAATAACATATTTTAATACCATATTTTTTAGGTAAACCTCAAAATCTTGTAGTAAGCAAGGATGGCTAAACAATACTGACATTCTGGTGACCAATATCACAATATGTACAATCTGTAGCAGTTACTCAGTTGCTGTCCGATAAAATTGAAACAGAAAAAGCGGAACAACGCACAACTTATCGGACGTTATTTGACCGGACATTGCGTGAACGGACATTAAAATGAACGCTAGGGCCTCCAGCGTCCAATTAATGTCTGTTCGAACAAGATTACGGGTAAAGCTACTGGACACTGACAAAGGCTCAAGAGATGGTTCTATATATTGTCACATTATTATTATTTAATGATGACTTGTTAATTGATTTTAACAATCACAACACTACATATCCAAACTAATGGCATGGCATAGCAATATCTACGATATCCTAAATCAGTCCCTAAAAAACTTTGCGCGAGTCTGAAAGGCTGTTGGAAGCACAGAGTGCTCCATATTTTGTTTTATCAATAAACCTTTCTTTTTTCATTTTCTTTTTTTTTTATGTATCAACTGCGTGCAAATTTCTGTTTCAGATTTGATCTATTTATGATATATATTTATGATTATGTAATAAAGTTATTATATTCGTAAACATTGGCTGGCTTACAAACCAGTCCCCAAACGAAACGAAACAAACGTTCTGATTTTAGCTCCTCATGAAGTCACCAAACAGAAAGTTCGTTTGTTCCACAGTTAATTTATGTGATTGGCTGATACATTAAACACGTAACTAATAAAAGTAGCTCAATTTATTTGAAAATTGAACTTTGTAGATAGTAAGACGTAGATACTATTACGACTTTGACAACCTCAACGTTTGATTTTAATCCCTATCATTAAAGATTGAAATTATTATTATCATATTTATTGTTATATTTAACATTGCAACTCATCTGACCGTTGGGAGGATTTCTAAAAGAAGGTGTAAACCCTCTGTAGTAATGGACCAGAACATCGAAACCAAGCACATTTATTAGTGTCTTGGATTTAGTAATGTATGATTTCAGCTGCAGATGTTCACTGTGTTCATTCTCTACGTAACTTTACACATCACTTAAAACTACATATGTTAGGCAAAGGATAGCATTAATGCCATGCTGCCATTGCAAGCGGAAGAGCAAGTGTGATTTCTGTATCCTAATAGCTTGGCAGTATTGACAATTATGACAATTAAAAAAAATCAAACTATATCATTACCTTGCAAGAGGAAGAGCAAGTGTGAAGCAAGTCTGTAGCACTTTAAAAAATCAAACTACCTGATCCGTTCGAGTATTTGCTGGCAATGCGCTGAATATCGCTCTGGTACTTGCAGCTTGTGTCCTCGTTGTCACTGTCAAACTTGTCCAACATAAAGTCCAGCTCTACGTTAAACGAGCTGCTGTCTCTGAGAGATAGTTACTAGTTAGGATCAGTTAGGTCAATCAAATAGTTTTTAGTTTTAAAAAGTGTGTATCCCCATCTTCTATTTGCACATGTTGATTTAAAAAACACCGAATACTGGGGGGGGGGGGGGGGGGGGGGTCCAACTACATTTTTGTACACTAATTTAGCGTACATTTGGCAAAAATCTGATGGCCATGTACATTAATGGTCATAAAAAATGTAAAAAAATCGGAAATCCCTGGAAACGGAACAGGAAAAACAGGAATAAACATATTTTGTACATTTTTGTACATGTACATATATTTGGCAAAAATCTGGTGGCCATGTACAAAAATGTAGTTGGACCCCCCCCCCCCCCCCCAATACTTACGATGATTTGGGCGGTAGCACCATAGGGTTTTTGGAGGTTTGATAAGCGGTATCGTGCTCGTACACATAACATTCCTCTGCGTTAAACGTTCCATACCTGGGCGTACTTAGGTTTAAGTTAAAGCACTGGTTAAACGTTCCGTACCTGGGCCAACTTAGGTTTAAGTTAAAGCACTGGTTAAACGTTCCGTACCTGGGCCAACTTAGGTTTAAGGGTTAATAGGGCAAACAGCGACCACCGCTTAAGAGCCGGTTAAGAGCCGTTTAAGAGCCGTTTAAGAACCGCTTAAGAGCCGCTTAAGAACCGTTTAAGAACCGGCTAAGAACCGCTTAAGAACCGGTTAAGAACCGGTTAAGAGCCGGTTTAGAGCCGGTCAAGAGCCGGTGAGCGGCCGCTTAAGAACCGTCTAAGGACCGCTTAAGAACCGCTTAAGAACCGTTGAAGAACCGCCTCTAAAACTGCATTTAAACAACCTAAGAACCAACTTAGAGCCGTTTAAGAACCGGTTAAGAACCGGCTAAGAACCGGTTAAGAGCCGGTTAAGAACCGCCTATAGAAAACAGATTTATAAATCTACTAATAAACTTAGATCCGGATAAGAACCGGCTCTTAACTGGTTAAGAACCGGTTAAGAACCGCCTATAGAAAACAGATTTATAAATCTACTTATCAACCTAGAGCCGGATAAGAACCGGCTCTTAACCGGTTAAGAACCGTTGTAGAACCGTCTCTAAACACCCTACACCCGGCCCCCCTCTTGTCTTTGCCCCCGCTCCCGACCCAGCACCTCTCCACTCCCCTGCTCCCTCTCTTGTTCTTACCCCCGCTCTCGGCCCAGCGCATCTCCACTCCCCTGCTCCCTCTTTTGTCTTTACTCCCGCTCCCAGCCCAGCACCTCTTCACTCCCCTGCTCCCTCTCTTGTCTTTACCCTCGCTCCCGGCCCAGCACCTCTCCACTCCCCTGCTCCCTCTCTTGTCTTTACTCCCGCTCCCGGCCCAGCACCTCTCAACTCCCCTGCTCCCTCTCATGTACTCATGTTTCATATAATGTACATTATATATGTATCGTATCTAGTGCTTAATTAGATATCCACATTCCAGTTGATCAGGTCTGCATGCGAAGAAGTCGGCTTACATTAATTTGGTATATAATATGGCGTGTCACATGACGGCACGCGCGATTCAGCGACGTTGCAGCTAGACGAGCGGTCGCTGGTAGCGATCGCTAGCAGCAACCACGGTGGTCATATATTTATAGTATCCCATAGCTTGTTATTGTCAAGTAGCGGGAGTGCTGGATGCATACAACAAGATGGTGTCAGATCTTGTCATCAGATCACTTTCTAAAATGTAATCAGAGCACGACATACCGTTTTCGTCAACGCGAATGTGATCTGATTCAATACCTATCATTAGGTGTATCTTGCTAATCGGTACAGTGATATCATATTAACACTGGATCTCGTATCCTATCACGCGACAATTATGTTACAATACGCTTAGCTCAATTAACCCGGTAATTTGAAACTATTTTGGGTTAACCCAAAGTTCTCTCCAGTGTCCGAACGGGATCCCGGCGCCGGGATTGTGATTTTAATCCCGGCCCCGGCCAATTTTTCCATTTTGACCGGGAATTTAGCCGGGATTTTTTACAAAAAATAGCTCGGTAATTCTGGAGTTTGTGATAAAAAATTGGCTCTGCCAAAGCCCGAAATTTAAAAAATTAATCGAAGGATTGAAATTTTAGTTTATCATTGATCATTCATGTATACATTTTGAAAAGCATGTTGTAAAGTATAATCAATTGAGTACTGAAGCAACACTAATTAACATATTATACCATAAAAATTCTAGAAATCCCGGCCAAATATCCCGGCCCGGGCAAAATCCTGCTCCCGGCCAAATCCCGGCCGCGGCTAAAAAATGCTAATCCCGGCCAAATCTTAAACCCCGGTCGGTTACAGGTTCTCTCAAATAATAGCGTTAGGGTATGCCAACACGTCGCGAAGCATTGCTATTATGTACTATTTAGGGTATAGAATACCCGACTATAAGAGTATGAATACCTTATCGGTGGAAAATTTTCCGTTGAAAAGTTTGCCTCAATCTCGATTTTGCAAAAATAGGTCAATAATTAGCAAATAAGATTTTTTAGCGAATTTTCGATGAAAATTGAATTGGATTTCTAAGTTTTAATTTTATTGAAATAAAACATGTTAATAACATGATGAGTATAACTAAGAAATGCTGACAGCCAAAATCATAGAAATTCATCGGGCGGTAGAAAATTTTCCAGCCAAAAGTTTTCCGGTTAAAAGTTCTCCGGTTAAAACTCTTGATTCACGAGTTATAACCGTAAAACTTTCTGCACCGATAAGGTAACTTAAAACCGTAATATGCAATAAGACCCCCCTGTTTCGCGGATTTTGGAAGGAAATATTTGTGCCTCAAAACCGCGAATCCATGACCCAAATATATTGGTCTAACTGGTAACACAGGCCACGATAATACCTTGCTGCACTACAAAACACCTCAATATGCTTTCATTTATACAGAGTGGGCCAGAACATCGCGGCCCGATTATCAACCGTGGTCCCAAAATTTTCAAAATGAAAAAAAAATCAAAGTTTTTCTAAAAATTGTATTTCTGCATGTTTCATGTGATTCCAATCATTTTGAGCAAAAACTTTTTTTTTCAAATTTTCCAAATTTCCAATCGAGGAAAACTTTATTTGGTAATTAACGATAGAAGAAGTTGTGGTCCTACAAAAGAAGCAAACTACGAGGGGACGGGGTATAATTGCATTTATTAACGATTTTGACTCATTGATTATTCTGCGTGTTATTTAATAACATATTAACCACTCTAGCCGGTGGTTAATAAAATATTAACCACTCCAGCTGGTGGTTAATACAATATTAACCACTCTTCCCGGTGGTTAACGCTAAAAATTAACTCACCCTGGGAGTGGTTGAATACTGGCGTGGAGGGGTGTTGTGGAAGGGTGTTGTGGGGGGTGTGGGGGCAGGGGCCAGGGCGGGGGGGGGGGGGACTGGGTTCAGGTACATGCTATTTGGTAAACACGTTTGGTATATATTTTATATTCTTTACGCTTTACGTTTATTTTTTTAGTAATTTTTCCCGATCTGACACGATTGTTATTGTAAGATCTTTTAATTTGAATCTTGAATCTTGAATCTTGAATCTATATATTTTGATAAAGTTTTTAGATTAGGCGTTTTGTAGTGCATTGAGGTGCTATCATGGTCTGTCATGCCAGTTAGACTAGTATATTTAGGCCATAGGCTGCATCCCGGTTTTTAAGACCCAAAATTTTCCTCCCAAAATCGGCGAAACAGGTGACAGGGGGTCTGACTGTATAACTATAAATACAGTTAAAGTTATACCACACTGCCACCCTCCCCCACCCTTCGTGCGCGGTTTATGAGGCCCAAACTTTTCATCCCGAGATATTTTCTTGGGAAGACATTGTCTTTTGGTGGTGAAGACATTGTTCAGGTTATCATAACGTTAGCTATAACCGCTTATATAGTATACACCTGGCAAACTTTCGTCATAATCACTAACTCCTGTGTAGGTGCTACCTTGCTGATACGTGAACCAAAGGCATTCCATCAGTGATTGGGTGTGAGATATAGCTCATATGATTGCTCATCTAAACGCAATAACATATTTTCGGCGATTCGTATCACGTGACGTGACTGTGTGCAAATGATTGGGCTGGCGAATTTTGACCGATGACATGCTGTACGTGGCTAATTACCGATTTGATGGGTTTAAAAGGACACTGAAACTTGTATTTATCTATTACACATTTACTACATCAAGATGACATCTCCTCACTTCCTCTCTTGGAACGACCTCGATAGAGCTAACGTGCTGGCAACAGAAGAGAACTGTATACAGTACTGCGTTGACGTTGGGATACTACGAGATCGCAGATACTGTACCACCTGCCAACAATGGATGACGATAGTGAAATGCTCGACTCAGAAGTTTAAAGATGGCTGCTGCTGGCGATGCCCTGGTGGAGCTCACTTCGTGTCCATCCGCACTGACTCCCTCCTGGCCGGGAAACAGATACCTGCTATGAAGTTTCTACACCTACTTTGGCTCTACTGTACCTTTAGCAGCGTCTGCCAAGCTGCAGTTACCCTCTCTATGGATCCTAAGAAAGTCCGGGGATTCTTTAAAGCTATCAGACAGTGCATGGCGGAAGACTTGTTCTCTGGTGACGTGATGATCGGAGGTCCTGGACAGATAGTAGAAATTGACGAGTTTATGTGGATGAGAAAACAAGGTCTCACTCGCTCTGATCCTGATTGCCGGAGACTTTTCAACAGAGAACTACCACTTTTGATGAAAAGACTGTTTGCATAGTTATAACGTGTGATAGCGAAGTACTGAATGGATTGATATAATATTTTAATTTATCTGTACATTAAACTCGTTCTGTAATTCAACGTTGTATCTCAGACAATAATTGATGTACTATTACTATTCGATTAATCATTTATGTAATTTATTAATCTACCTATGAAATTTGATTCGAAATAAATTGAAATTCTAACAAAATTGAAGTCTTAATAATTGCATCTGCGCACTATAAGACATGCATCATGAAATATTATGATTTGCATCGCGATATTGGGTCGAGCCGTCAGGCGAGATGCTAATAGCAATACAATTATAACAAAAGCGAGGTGCTATTGCCAACATTGTTACGTACGTCAAAAACTACTAACCTAGTCTAAAATGGGGAGGGAGGGGAGTGGAGAGGTGCTGGGACGGGAGTGGGGGTAAAGACACGAGAGGGAGCAGGGGAGTGGAAAGATGCTGGGGCCGGGAGCGGGGGTAAATACAAGAGAGGGAGCAGGGGAGTGGAGAGGCGCTGGGGCCGGGAGCGGGGGTAAAGACGAGAGGGAGCAGTGGAGAGGTGCTGGGCCGGGAGCGGGAGTAAAGACAAAAGAAGGAGCAGGGGAGTGGAGATGCGCTGGGGCCGGGAGCGGGGTAACGACGAGAGGGAGCAGGGGAGTTGAGAGGTGCTGGGCCGGGAGCGGGAGTAAAGACAAAAAAGGGAGCAGGAGGGTGGAGAGGCGCTGGGGCCGGGAGCGGGGGTAAAGACAAGAGAGGGAGCAGGGGAGTGGAGTGGTGCTGGGCCGGGAGCGAGGGTAAAGACAAGAGAGGGAGCAGGGGAGTGAAGAGGTGCTGGGCTGGGAGCGGGAGTAAAGACAAAAGAGGGAGCAAGGGAGTGGAGTGGTGCTGGGCCGGGAGCGAGGGTAAAGACAAGAGAGGGAGCAGGGGAGTGGAGAGGTGCTGGGTCGGGAGCGAGGGTAAAGACAAGAGAGGGAGCAGGGGAGTGGAGAGGTGCTGGGCGGGGAGCGGGAGTAAAGACAAAAGAGGGAGCAGGGGAGTGGAGAGGCGCTGGGGCCGGGAGCGGGGGTAAAGACAAGAGAGGGAGCAGGGGAGTGGAGTGGTGCTGGGCCGGGAGCGAGGGTAAAGACAAGAGAGGGAGCGGGGGAGTTTAAATGTGCTGGGCCGGGTGTAGGGTGTTTACATGTAGTTTTAGAGACGGTTCTTCAACGGTTCTTAACCGGTTAAGAGCCGGTTCTTATCCGGCTCTAGGTTGATAAGTAGATTTATAAATCTGTTTTCTATAGGCGGTTCTTAACCGGTTCTTAACCGGTTAAGAGCCGGTTCTTATCCGGATCTAAGTTTATTAGTAGATTTATAAATCTGTTTTCTATAGGCGGTTCTTAACCGGCTCTTAACCGGTTCTTAGCCGGTTCTTAACCGGTTCTTAAACGGCTCTAAGTTGGTTCTTAGGTTGTTTAAATGCAGTTTTAGAGGCGGTTCTTCAACGGTTCTTAAGCGGTTCTTAAGCGGTCCTTAGACGGTTCTTAAGCGGCCGCTCACCGGCTCTTGACCGGCTCTAAACCGGCTCTTAACCGGTTCTTAAGCGGTTCTTAGCCGGTTCTTAGCCGGTTCTTAAACGGTTCTTAAGCGGCTCTTAAGCGGTTCTTAAACGGCTCTTAAACGGCTCTTAACCGGCTCTTAAGCGGTGGTCGGTCTTTGACCTAATTCCCGGTTTAAGTTAAAGCACTGGTTAAACGTTCCGTATCTGGGCCAACTTAGGTTTAAGATAAAGCACTGGTTAAACGTTCCGTACCTGGGCCAACTTAGGTTTAAGTTAAAGCACTGGTTTAACATACTCTTATGATACCCTACCTGTGTGAAAATACCGACGGAAGAGCTTTTAAATGAGCCAGAAACAATTTTGGGGTCGGGGATGGTTCTCCTACCTGGGAACCAAGACATTACGTTGAGATCTCTGTGTGACAGTGGTACCCGGCACGTTATAAGCTCCACAAAACTGGGCAGACAAACACTTGTACTTCGTCTGAGGAAGTGAATAATTAATAATTAAATTAGTCACTTGGAATATAAATTAACTGCTGAGAAGATTCAAATAAAAATATCTGCTTATCTCAGAAAGTTTGTAGTTACCTCTAACATGTTCACGTTGGAGCTCTTCCCCACTGTTATAAGTCGAATTGGAGCCAAATTGTTAGGGTTCATAACTGTCTCTGAAATAGTTTTAATCGTTTAAACAGGTTACAATTTCAACATGGTTCGTCACTCGGTACCATAACTTCATCTCTCTAGTACTATAATAATCTGGTACGGGAAGTATTCTGATTTGTGTGTACTGTGCAAATCAGGCTTAACGCTAGTAAAGTCTCATCCCAGCATTAAATGATTCAAAATGGACAATGGTGCACAATGCACATGACAGGTCATGTTGGCACAGGAGGAATCTATACGGACAGGCTTTTCACGTGGGAAATTTGCAAGCAATGATTAGATAGCAAAAGTGGCAATGCGCGTACAATTTGCGCCTTGTCAATCACGAAATATTGGATCGGTAATGCGCGTAACAGACATGACACGACTTCCACGAGGCAATTCCTTTTCGTAGGTCTACGACTCATTAACAATTGGCGTGCAAAGATGGCCATTTCTCAAATTGCAACACTCAAAAACATCGAAATGTATAACACGATCACCTCTATCAAATAATGTGTGAAAAATATTCACGCAACGTACAATAAAATATTCCATTAAGTTGGCGGTTACAGCATAAAAAGGTTGTGTGTTACATCGTCAAGCAGAGCAATTTGAAATCCAGCTGTTTGAGAGTTTAACGCATGCAGCCATACGTTTTAATATAGAATATAAATTTAAACCGTACCTTTTCTGTAGGGTTTTTTGTAAAGCGTCTCAGCAGCGCTAGTCGGAGTTCTGGGAGACGATTCCTGAATTGACAGACAATCAATTTACTTGTATTTAATGTTTACGTGTGAGAAAATAATGTTTAAAGTTAAGCTAATTTGTGGTACCAACATAATATGTTCTATGTCAAAAGGTAATTTACAGAGTGGATCGGAACTAACGCAATGATTCAGCAGTAAATGAGCTCTGAATCCTAATATCTTGGCAGTCATCCAAGTTATGACAATTATGCACCAAATAAGATATAACTATACATGAAGATTGTTTTGTCACGTGGTGTTCAACACAGCCAGTAAAACTGTTCTAATATCGTCACGTGATGAGGTTTGTGATCAGTATAACATTCACGACATTGACCACAGATCACGATTGTATATGAGAACAAGTACAAACCATATTATAACGAATTGATCAATAACAAAAACATCTTTCTGTATAGTCAAAATATAAAGAAAAAAGATATAAACAAAGAATCTAAAAAGTAAGAAAATATATTTAACCTGGCGAGTCGGAGATTTCGTTTTACCTTCGACAGAACTTTCAACTGAAACAAGGCTTGGGTAAGGATTTTTAGAAATTAGAAATTTGCGAAGGAATGTACACTGAAGGAATTCTATTTTCACGAATCGATCTGGATATAGAATTATAGAATAAAAAAATTATTTACCTTGAGTTTATTGTTTATTACAGAGTTGGCACTTCAACAATCAATACAGACTTTGAAATTCAGCGAAATAACTTTCACTCTAACAGAAAATTCCTATCCATAAAATTCCATATTTATTTTAAGGATCAAACAACACGAACATAGCACGCAAGAAAAAAAGAAAAACGCATCCAAGTACAACGCAAGAATATGCAATATAAAATCCATCCTTCTCACATGATAACGCAAAGAAAACTAACCTTGATAATTTGTTACTCTGTAATAAAACAATAGAAAACACAAAGAGGACGAGAGGTGCGACATGCATTTGATCTGCATTTGATCTGACACAGAGCTCGGCTGTATCATGATGAAGGCCAGCCAGCGCCTCCCCTCCCAAGTAATGAGACGCTGAACACATGCCACCCTTCCTCACAACAAATGCCACCTTCTATAGTTGAATTTTTCAATCGATCACTGGTGGTGTTGGCTAGATTTCTTTTTTTCAGTACTCGAGGACATACTAGCGTGACATGTGCACTATTTGGCATGCACTGAGTTTAGTAATGCAGACTCTACGGATCTTTTGTGTGAGATGAAGTTCCCCACGTGACAGGATTTAGAGACATGGTAAATTAAAGGCAGGCGCTGAACATATTAGATCACTAGTGGACGAGTATTTTGCCAGGCAAAACATCCTTGGAATGTATCTAATGATCTGTTCGAGACAGTTCTATTATGCTCATAATATCACGATATAATGTAATTAGGTCGATGACTCTTTTGATGATTCAAATAGGCTCGCTGCACAATTCAACAAGTAGGAAACTGATACGTGAACAGTGAACACTACATAATATTGCAACCCTGGGTTGTTTCTTGAACTGCTTAATTTGGTTTCGAAAAGGAATTGTTTAAAAACAACAGCATATTCTACATATTAATATGTTATCGACCAATACAGTCTGTACAATGACTGCTCTTACTTTTGTTTTAAATCAGAGTTATTGATATGGAATATTCCATGCAGCCATCTAGCAAGGTCACTGAGGAATGAGGATGGCACAAGACACGATTGAGGTACTAAAAGTTCTATTCCCAAAGAAAGCTTTGATAAACGGAAAATCATCAGAATACAAAAAGAGATTTTTGAAGAAGAGCTTTTCTGCCGGCCCCGTGATTGAAATTTCGTGGTTTTGACTGATTTTTACCAATGACCAATCAGTGAGAGTGACACAAGTCGCCATCAAGGTACTGGAAGCAGTATATCCGGAGAAAACTTTGATGCAAAACTTTGATACATTCTTGGTGAATGGGGAGGATTTACGCTTGGATTACAGACTCAATTGCAAAAGCAACAGCATATACATTGCACGGTGTACCCTTTGTAGCAATTTGCCCCAAAAATTGAAGGAGGACACATATTTTGGACAAACTGTTTCCCCCATGCATGTGCGGATGAATGGCCATAGAAATAAATTTAAGATAGACAGTTCTTTGACTTATGAGAAATCGGCCCTTTCAATGCATTGTTTTTTGACTCATAAATCCTCCTTTAACATGTCTTTTTATAAATTAGGAATTGTTAAGAAAGTGAAGCCGCTGAATTTAGATAGAGAAGAGGTCAGACTGATTGATAAATTTAGGACTAAGATTTGGGGCTTAAATAGGATAGTAGTTGTTAGATGATTTCATATTTATATAGTTTCATTTTCATGTTTCTATGTGTTGTCGCTGCTTTTTAATATTGAGTTCTGATGCTTTGTACATGAATTTCCCCGATTGAATTTTGATTCCCTGATTTGCAAGTTTTCAGACATTGGTCTGTGTTATTTCATAAAAGTTTTCTGACTTACGTATATTCAGGTCTAATGATGTAGTTTTTCTACGAAGATTTCAACCTGAACCTTGTGTGTTTATTTACTGTGTGTCCAAACAAATAAAGATTTGATGTAATGAAGATATTGAATATGTCCTACCGGTAGGACATATTCGAATTTTAGCTTTCCGCGACCCAAATTTCACTGTGTTGACTGAATTTTTCTAGAATGACCATCTTACAGGGTCACTGAAAATGGCACAAGACACGATTGAGGTACTTAAAGTTCTATTCCCAAAAATAGATTTGATAAACGGAAAATCATCAGAATACAAAAAGAGATTTTGAAAGATTTTTGAAGAGGAGATTTTCTGTCGTCCCCTTGACCGAAATTTCGCAGTTTTTACTGACATTTTTACCAGTGACCAATCAGTGAGGTCGGTGAAAGTGACATAAGCCGCCATCAAGGTACTGGAACCTGTCTATCCGGAGAAAACGTTGATGCTGAAATTTCTACCGGTAGCAGCGTAGGACTTTTTCAAATTTCAGCTTTCTGTGAATTTCACTGTTTTAAAGTTTTAATTTGTCTGAATTTTTCTCGAATGACCAATAAATGGGTTCTCTGTGGGTGGCACAAGACACATTTGAGGTACTATCCTATTACTAACCAGATCAGCCCTTGTCAGACTTCCAGCTGCAACTACTAAATATAATTGATGAGTTACTGTGACCAGCTGTCAGAGTTTAGAATTTAATTAGTTACTTAGTTTCTTAGTTAATTAGTTAATTAGTTAATTAGTTCCTCGGACCTCATTACAAAACCGGCCTCCCGATAAAGAGTAATATTGAATTATGATATCTTAAACAAATATATTTTAAACGACAGTATAATTACTGTAGATCACTTTAACCACTGTTATTCCAAATCTAAAAATGACTCTGTATTTCGCGTGCATCAAAATTTACAAGCGGGTCAGTAGATTTAAAAAGATAGAACTGCAGAGTAACAGAAGACAGTGTTAACCGAGGTAGGAAATCCACACAATAGCGGGCAGTACTTGGCCACAAGCTTCAAACTTACATTTTTAAGGGAATGGAGAGCTGAAGATACCTCACAAATGTTTTGTTAACTATTGATTCCAACGAAGTTTTTTTCAGGGAGTCAGTCCCAATAACTGAAGAACTCAAAAACCATGGATACACGTACATTAGGGTGGAGAATAACCAGAAGGGCATTCTAAAGATCCACTAGATATCGGAATATCGCCCTTCAACATGTATAAGCCAATACAAAGTATAGCATTTTCCAAGTAATTCCGGACTCACTGTTCTACCTTGTGGTTTAAAACTTATAAATCCCACTCATTCTTACATATATATTCTGGAATATGATTGTGCAGTGTGCCCCCGGAAGGGAATTTTCCACGTTTTTGGAGCACTGTCTCCCATTTCATAGCATCGAACAATGACACTATACCTCAGCTGCTAAAATCTCAAATTAACCAGAATAGCTGAAACAAGAATTGCGCCCGTTGTTTTGTTTTGGCGGACGCTAGATTTCCATTTCACATTTACTATAAATTTAAGTATAAGCTCCAATCAGCTCACTTCAATCTTCATGATAATAATATTGATAAATTAATACGAGAAACACTTGAAATTCAGTTCAAAAACACTCGAAATTCAGTTCAATTGCCGTATAACTTAACTTGTATCTGTAATTCAAGAAATTATCAGCAAAGGTAAACTATACTCGTGTACACATCAATACACTATGCGTGCCACGTACAAATTGGGCGTATTACCTAATAGTAATATTATACATTACATGCATCATATACATTAAAACACAGTCGCGCCGCGCATTCATAGATCACAGGCTATCTATACATCACATCTCCGCAAGCAATCCTCGCGTGCGCGCAACTTTTTCGTTGCATGGTAACGGACGGAATGACATCATATTCAGACCCGCCTACTGCTATCTCCAAAATCCACGTTTTTCTGCAAAAACCTCCATTCGTAACCTTTCACTATTGCCTTTTTTCAAAAGGGTGAAAAGGAAAAAATAGGGGCCAGCTTTTCGTGGCTGAAGTACAGGATGGAAACTGGAATAGGTTAAATCACAGTAGATGTTGAAACTTATTCGGAACTTTAAACTCATAATGACCACTCACTATAGAAAGATATGTCAGGATGTGAAGGTTGGAAGTTAAAATTGCTCTGCACCACAATTCATCAATATGTGTCAAGATTCCAATAATATTTTAAATACACTATTGTCCGACTTTTCCATGTCTCGTGCACAGCAAAACATGCAACATTGCAGAATATTCTGAACTTGCAAAGGTAGTTACAGCGTGTAAGTGGACTGCAGGAAGAGAACCTGAAGTTTTGCACGTGTGCAGTTCACCCCACTTCAGTGATCAACAAAATAACTGCTTAGCATGCTGCTAAGGTGTAGGATGCTGGATTATCATAGAATATTTACCGAGTATATATTTACTGAGTTTAGTGTTTACATTAAGCAATCTCAATTAAACTTGAATAAAGGAAATTGAGAGCATCTGTTTTTATCTTTGTACCTGAGTTTTTTCCAGGGTTAGACTTGCCGCTGTGTCCGGGCTGAAAAGATAGGATAATCTTTACTTCACTTAGTTATAAGAATGTAAGATTATTATAGAGGATTACTCGCAGTCGGTTTAACATGTAGACAATTAAAGTGATTGTATCTAAATGTAACACGTATAAATAACTGATACAATTATAAGATTATAGACATCACCAGTTTTAATCGTAGCTGTGAATTCTAGATTATCTTGGTATAGATTTATCGCATTTGAGTGGAGAAATGTGGGATGTATATAGTACATATTATTCTCTACTATAATTCAGAGAATTCTTTCTGCTGTCTGTACGACCGCCCACGTGCAAATTAGATGAAAAATAGGTAGTTGCGTAGTAACCATAGTACCTTAACGAGGATTGTTACACGCACGTGCACGTGCAATGATTGTTTTAACGTCATTTTAATCGGTTTTGTTGATATTACGCTGTGTTTAGTACGAGCAACATTTTATTTGGCTGTATCTTCGGTTGTGTAGGATATTTTTTGACGCGATTTAAACTTACTAACAAAGAATACTATTAGCGTCCTCCCTGTGACCACGGCTTTTCTAGTTTGTTATATAGTAGTGTTGAAAGTATGAACACATGAAAACATGTGCATCCACATCCACACCCACTTCCACTGGTCTTTATTGTGGGTGGCCGGTGGTGACGACACAATGCGACACACATCTTAACAATAACATTAACAGAATAAGTTCTCGATTTAAGTCGATATTCAAAATTTCTATAACGTTTCAATTTGTTTGCTGCAATGAGGACTGTAATCCTGATTATAAATTTCTCTACTCTTTTCATTTTGGTAAATGCAAACTGTGGCTACACATACACTGACCCTGTCCATGGTGTTCAAAAGGTGATAACAGCAGCTTGGCAGCAGATTACAGGACAACTTACCAAGATCTCGAAAGGAGATTCAGGAGTGTGGGGTGTCAATAGCAATGACAAAATCTACCAGCTTAATACTAATGGAAACAGCTGGACTCAAATCGCTGGTGGATTGGTGCAAGTTTCATCTGGGGCATCTGTTTGGGGGGTCAACAAAGCCGATGCAATCTACAAGTACTTGGGAGACAACAAATGGAGAAAGATCGGCGGACTACTGACAAACGTAGATGTGAGCAACAAGGATCACGTGTGGGGAGTGAACAGAGGACAGAATATCTACAGAAGGACTGGCGGCTCATGGCAGCATATCGGCGGGAAACTCATCCAAATCAGTGTCGGGGAATCTGGGGTGTGGGGAGTGAATTCGGCACACGATATCTACTACCGAGTGGGAACGTACGGTGACGCCGACACTGCTGGAACAAGCTGGACACAGGTTTCTGGAAAACTGCAATGGATTAGCTCAGGAACGGACCTTGTTGTTGGCGTAAATTCTGCTAATGAAATCTTTTACCGCGAGGGAATGACAGCAGATAACCCTACAGGCACAGGATGGGTAAAGGTATCTGGAAAGTTGATGCAGATCGATGTGAACAGAAAAGAAGTAGTTGGAACTAACTCTGGGCACTCAATCTACAAATCTCCAGTCGGAGATGAATATGTTCAAAAGGTGATAACAGCAGCTTGGCAGCAGATTACAGGACAACTTACCAAGATCTCGAAAGGAGACTCAGGAGTGTGGGGTGTCAATAGCAATGACTAAATCTACCAGCTTAATACTAATGGAAACAGCTGGACTCAAATCGCTGGTGGATTGGTGCAAGTTTCATCTGGGGCATCTGTTTGGGGGGTCAACAAAGCCGATGCAATCTACAAGTACTTGGGAGACAACAAATGGAGAAAGATCGGCGGACTACTGACAAACGTAGATGTGAGCAACAAGGATCACGTGTGGGGAGTGAACAGAGGACAGAAAATCTACAGAAGGACTGGCGGCTCATGGCAGCATATCGGCGGGAAACTCATCCAAATCAGTGTCGGGGAATCTGGGGTGTGGGGAGTGAATTCGGCACACGATATCTACTACCGAGTGGGAACGTACGGTGACGCCGACACTGCTGGAACAAGCTGGACACAGGTTTCTGGAAAACTGCAATGGATTAGCTCCGGAACGGACCTTGTTGTTGGCGTAAATTCTGCTAATGACATCTTTTACCGCGAGGGAATGACTGCAGATAACCCTACAGGCACAGGATGGGTAAAGGTATCCGGAAAGTTGATGCAAATCGATGTGAACAGAAACGAAGTAGTTGGAACTAACTCAGGACATTCTATTTACCGATCTGCAGTCGGACAAAAATAAGTTGGCTGTTTGAAGAGCAATTCGCCAAGAAAAGGACTGTAGTTGATTTTATGCTCCTCGTGCATGCGTTATTGATTATTCTTTATTATTTGAAAAAAAATTAAACAGATTATCTCAAGATTGTCCACAAAAAAAAGTGTGTGCTATAACATTTTGTTTCGGGATCGGTCACATATTACGTACACCGAATTTTGTGCACTTCGAACCACTCCCATCCCTTTCATAGGCCACTTTACCGAGCGATTGTGTGAAAGGCTTAGCTTTTTCAAACCATCTTGCGTATTATGTGAACTATCCCTCAGTTTATAAATTTTCTCACCTATTATATGTAATTATTAGAACCAGTATGCTCATCTTACTCTTGGCCTTGAATTTATCTTTTTAAGTAGTTACACAATAACATTTAATAAAATGGGTATGATATACATCTTTTTTTTGGTTTTATCCTATGAGCTAAAAAACGATATCTTGTCATATTATAATATATAATATATAATATGCTATATATTAATATATAATGAATTTATCTCACACGATCAAAATTTAGTGAAGTATTCTTAAAAGCTTAGTAATATCTTTCCATTTTAATAAATTATTCAAGATCATTAGTTTCAAATTAAGAAAACCACCGTTAATTCAACATTATCACATTAAGTATTACATTAAGTATTACATCAGCATTACATTAAGTAGATTTATTTAGTATGTGTACTGCCTCCCCCGCACTATAACCGACAAATAAACTGGTTGCAAGATGACTGTTTACATCACCATGGCAACACAAAGGTAACTAGATACCCTAAATCTAGTTAACGACCACCCTTGACATTCTTTACATTTTCGTGTTAATGGTTTAAGGGTCCAAGTGATATGATGGTTTTTTAGCGAACATATTTTAATCATGCATAAGAAGAAGAACACTGCATGATCATATTGAGTGGACTTATGATAATTGGTACTGAAATGCTCAAGCCTAATTTCTAACCAAGTTTTAAATTAAAAATAACTAATATAAACCAATACAAAACAAACGGGGTTAATAGATAATAATATGATCACTGATCATGGTGGGTTAGACAGTAATCAGGATAGAAATGTTTTGTAATTATACTCAAAATAACAAACCTTAGCATGTTTCCCAGAGTGAGAGCTAGAATTATCTCCGTACGTTGTGGAAGGAATGTAACGGTTCTGTCTGGGTCCCCTGCAACACCCTACTATACCCTTACATTCCTCAATAGTTGGGTTCCCTGTTTTCTGATGTACAACCAATGGTTGCAACCTGAGGAAATATTATTCAGTGGTTTTGTTTGTCTGTTTTGTAAATACTGCAGTAATACAAACACTTATTTATAATATCATTAAGTGCCAGTTTTAACTGTGCATCAATCATGTGCTAACCGTGTGCTTACCGTGCGTTAAGATTTGTGCGTTATCTGTGTCTCAAGTTATCATATTAGTGCCATTTTCATTTACCTTACTCGATATTATTATCACCGGGATTAATTAATTTACGGGTTTTTGAAAATTTCGCCTTATTTTCCCGGTACATAATTTTCCTAGCCGTTACTGAATCCGTCACTCTCGAGTAAGGTAAATCCAGTAACTTATATAATAAATCTGATAACTTATATATTAAAATTTAATGATGGCTTCACAGGCGTTTTGTTTACCTCCCAGCGGTCATCCACCGCTTTTCTAGGTCATTTTTATCTTGAAGCTCCACCATCGATCTGTTATGGGTATGTAGAAAACATACAAATCGCTATACTCACTTTATTATTAAAAATCATAACAATTTATAATTTTTCGATCGTTTAAAAATCGCGTTACATACTCAATACATCATACTGTATTAATTGACAATATTTTTCATTTGTCGATGAAAATGAGGTCTTCAACTAAACTACTCTGCTGTTCATAAAGGAACCAAAAAGAGTAGTGTGAACTGTATAGTAACCCACCTTGCTTTCAGGAGCCAACCAAAATACTGCCCAGTGTCCTTCCGCTTGTGGTTAGTTTCTGTCATTCTGTTTATAACAGCACTTTTAACCCTCTTTACACTCGCATCTATATTTGAAATCATTTCCTTACTCGGACTCGGTATCTCCTGATAGTGAACAAGTATAATTCAAATTACCTTACCTTAAAACAATAAAACTGTTAACTGCCTTCCTTAAATTACATCATCTTTCCTAGACGCCCTAGTGTCTTGTTTAGTCTAGTTTCTTATTTAGTCTAGTGTAGCATGATTGAGAAGAATGATTTTTACCATGACGTCCCTCCCACACCTCATTTTAGAGACACCTCCTTCCCCAAGAACAATACTTTATTGCTGACAATTGTGAAAAGCCAACTTTTGCATGATTCGTACTCGCTCATTTGATAATTCATTCCATGAGAAGTTTCAATTGGCACACTTATATTCTGCACATTAACATAATATTCTATTATCAACATCTCCAATGGCTTGCACAAGAATTACAGCATTGCAAGAGACGGCACTGGTCTTTAAAATACATTAAACATTATGAAAACGTTTTTTAACACACAGGATATATTCATAATTCTGTAAAGAACCACTATCCAGTGCATCAGCAGAACTTAATAAAGTAACAATGATAACTGAACTAACTCTGTGTCTTCTGTAAGCAGAATCAGCTGCAGGTATCTGTTTAAAGGGCTGCTGAACCGGAGAAATGAGAGAGTTGTGCCGAGAAAGTGAGAGGAGAGGGATAGGTTTGATCATACAGTGAGGCTGGTTCACGGTTCTTGGAAACGTTATGTACTGGGTTGTTGCCCTACTTTGTACCATCTGTCTTCTTGTATCGATAATGCTATCAAGATATTTTTGAATAAGTGAAAATTATTGATGAATTTCAGGATTTAACAGCCATTGGCAGTCAAGTTTTGTCTTCAGACAAGTTTTGTATAGATATTTTAGTTTTGCAGCAAATAAGAGGACTAGCTGGTAAAAGCAAAACATTCAGTTTTTTAAACCTGATTGTAGCTGTCATGAGAAATTCATAATGAATCTAAGACTGAAATATGATATTTCTCTGATTCAAACTGATGCTGCTGTTTTCTGACAGAATTGCTTAAAGACCACTCAAAAATCCGAGGTTTTCAAGCACTTTTGACACATTCATGACAACTTGTGGCATAATAATCGGCTTCAAAGGGGGTTTCTGATGGTTTTCAGGAATAGTTCTTGACCTAAAAAAGAAATTTGGGTTAAAGAATTCAGAATTTTTTAAATGATCTTTAAGCATATTTGTTAGAAAACGGCAGAATTATCCTTATCATAATATTCTGATTTCATTAATTTCTCAGCTGTGCATCCTTGCTTTCAGTGGGGCAAAATTTATTTCTGTCAAATGAATAAATGATAATCCAACATTCTTACTACCTTCTTATATATTTAAAGTCATTATTGTGACGGTACATTAGAACTAGACAGAAACGAAGTGTGAAGGGCCTGAACGGAACCCCTCGGTTTTAGTTGCTTGTTTAACACTGCCGCACAGCAAGGACATCCACCGCCGGTGGATTCCATCGGGTTCTCCAAGGATGGGCACATAGCTCACTCCACACTTTGCTCTGTCAAATGTTGCTTATATACCAAGGATCTACAGGAAATATTTCCTTGTGAGTTTAGAGGGCCATCTGTGAACAGACAACTACCTCATTCCCAACTATAGGAACTAGCATTCCTATACTATCCCAACGAGCTACACCAAGCATAGTTTCAGATGAGAACAGCCGCGATAAATCAGCAGGCTAGTACTCTTGTCTCTTGATTATATATTTAAAGTCTCTATTGTGACGGTACATTAGAACTAGACAGAAACAAAGTGTGAAGGGCCTGAACGGAACCCCTCGGTTTCAGTTCCTTGTTTAACACTGCCGTACAGCAAGGACATCCACCGGGTTCTCCTAGGATGGGCACATAGCTCACTCCACACTATGTTCTGTCAAATGTTGCTTATATACCAAGGATCTACAGGAAATATTTCCTTGTAAGTTTTTTTAGAGGGCGATCTGTGAACAGACAACTACCTCATTCCCAACTATAGGAACTAGAATTCCTAGAAAAGTTACCACAGGGATATGTTATAAATAAATACTAGAAATCTAAAACGAAATTTATTCCCACTTAGTATGAAATGAAAAACCTAGCTTCTGTGGGGCGCATGAGTTTTTTCCAAATTCTTCAACAAACAAGTTTACAATTATATAGTTACCCAAAGTAGTTAATAAATGCTTGCATGACTGTGATTCACAACACTTTCTTAGAAGATTGAGAATTAAAATGACCAACATGATTCACATAATGTTGATTTTGCAATTTCTCAAGTACTCTTAGACCACATTCAAGCAAATATCAGTAAACCAAATATCAGGAAGTTTAGAAAATATAATTATATTCAATAGATTAATGGAGCTTAAGTCAATATTAAAGCGTGGAGTAACTGGAAGAAATTTAGTAAACACCTTACTTCTGTGGAGTACCTTGCTTCTGTGGGGCATATACCTGCAATCTAACAATTATTTCAATTAATACACCAACCTGATACAAAAGTAAAATACAATTTTAAGTTCAATCACTGAGAAATACGATACTGATTGTCGATAAATGACCATTCAAAAATTGTCTTTTCTCAACTTCCACATAACAAAGATTTAGTTTAAATAGAGTATTCGACTATGCTGCGTACGCAATTAGTATTAATATATTTTAAATATTACCTACCATACTATAATGATGAAAAGCATAAAATAACTGGCTACAATGAGCATTTCATTAATAATAAATATTAGAGATCAAAAATTTTAATTTCAAACAGACAATTTTGAATACCCACCTAACAAATCTATACCTTAAATGTTCATAGAACATAATATTTGACTGTACCAATCACTTGACGTTTCAAAATGAAAGTTTGGTTAAAGATGCAGTTATACCAAATAAAAGGCCACTGTTATACCAAAGGTAACTGGTTCTCAAAGCACAAAGGTTACTGAAACAAACTTTCTTCGAGATATAAATTAAAAACAGTCCATATATGTTTAGCTTGACTGCATTTTAAATTCATATTAACAAACTCACCGATTAAAAGTATGTGCAGCGCTGTTAATTACTTATGCGAGTGGAAGAGTCAATATTTCTTTGCTTCATTCTCTCACAGGAGTGTGTGCAAAGGAAATAGCGCACCAAGTAAATTGAAATACTTAAAAGACAAACAACTGAACTTTGAATTCTGTTTGGGTTTAAACAAAATGAATAAATTGTAATACAAACAATATTTTGACGGATGTTACTCGTCTAAATTTCTTCGAAGTAGCGCGCGCCGCTTTCTTCTCGATGGCAAGTGCTACGAAGTAGCGCGCGCCGGGCCTGGTCATTAACAATGGTCAAACAATATTTAGTCCTTGGGCATGAAATTCGTTTTTGTTTGGCGATTGGCATGCATGGATCTTTTCTAAACTAAAAATAATGTGAAGGCAGCTCAAAAGCTTACTGGGCTTTAAAAACAAATTGGTTTTTAAAGTTTTTTCCTTTTCAATGCCATTTATTTTTATAGTAGTAGTAGTAGTAGTAAATCTTTCAAAGTACGAAATATCTCTTTAAAAGAGCATCCTAGGCACCTTATAGATATCAAAACGCATAAAAAGAAAACAAAAACATCAACCATCTTCTAACTTCTTCCACTCCTCCCTATCTAAAGCTAAAAATCTAAGGTCTTCGAAATCAGTCAAATTCTTAAGTCTAATATCAAGATTTCTACTAGTCAAGTCTTTTCTAATAACATCTAATAAGTTTAAACATGGTCTACCCCGTCTCCCTTCCATAAAAATATCAGAATTTATAGCAAATAACATAGAGGTGTATGCTGGTGAGTCTTCCTGTCCTCTTAAGATATGTCCTAACATTCTCCATCGAAACTTAGAGACTCTCACAGACAAGGGAGTGACATAACAACGAGCATAGAGTGCCTCATTAGAAATAACCCCAGTAGGCCATCTGATGTTGAGGATTCTTCGGAGGTGTTTGCGATGAGCAATATCAAGTTCATTCAACGAAGCTAGTGGTGCAGCCCAGGAGTTGCAGTTGTAGAGTAGAATAGAGACTACTTGTGCCTCGTAGATTTTGATCTTCCTTTGGACTGAAATCTTGCTCTTCATCCAAACTTTCTGAAATTTACTAAAGGCGACATTACCAAGGAATATTCGATTCTTGATATCCTTAACAGTGCACATCAACGATCCTAAAGTTTTGTTAGAGCGCCACTCTTCATCACCTCTATACACTTTTCCAACAATCACCTTGCGTTTAACAGTGGGTTTAGGATCTGCTAAATAAAAATGGACAAATTCAGTCTTGGAAGAATTGATATGAAGGTCCCACTGCTGGAATATATCTTTAGCGATAGGAAGCATTTCTTTGAGTGGAGCAAGTTCAGTGTTATTAAAGTCAATATCATCAGAGTATCCTGTTTCGAGTGGCATGAATTCTTCTGAGATAGGAGGATTAGGGATTGGATGATTCACTGGGTAAGGTGTTGATGATACTTGGGAGAGTACAGATCTGAGGTGAATAAGTGCAGCGGCTTCAACAACAGTAAATAGATTACCTGATAGTGCATCTCCTTGAAATGCTCCAGTTGTGCTTTGGAACTCAATTGATACAGTATTATTGACTTTTACTTTCAACACTGTGTTTGATAGTAGGAGCCGTACCATCCTAATTTCATCACTAGTACAGCCAGCATCTTCAAGAACATTGAGTACTGTTTCTCTGCTGATGGTGTCAAAGGCACTTGACATGTCTATACTCATTCTGTGGTAGCTCCAATGCTTTCTAAGTACCACTGAGGTTAGCATACGTTGAGACCAAATTATATCGCCACAACTTCTACCTCTCTTGTAAGCACTTTGTGTAGGACCGGTGTACTGATCTAGCTTGCCTTGGATACGTTTTAGGGTAATCATTGACAGTAATTTTCTGGAGCAGTTTGAGAGGGTGAGAGGTCTGATGTTTGCTGCTGGACCAAGTGGTTTCTTAGGCTTTTGGAGTGGAGTAATGTTGCCTTTTCCAATAGATGTTATGGTGGTGTTTGTTTCAAATGCGGTATTTATACAGTCTGCATATTTCTGAAATACACTTCTGTTTGCATACTTAATCAATTCACTTGGGATATCATCAGGCCCAGTGGCTCTACCATTCTTCAAAGCTTTAGCAGCTATCTCAACTTCAATAGCGGTAATAGGGTCAGCGAGAGGACTAGGTTGATCAAAGAAAGTGTCAATAGGCTCAACTGTATGTTTTGCAGTGAACTTCTCTTCAAAGTGGTTCTTTAGTGTAGCAGCTTTTCCAGTGTCTGTACCTATGAAGTTAGAGTTTTCATCATGCACACTTATGGTTGGAGCACGTTTGATACCTGCTAGTTGGCGAGTGGCTGCAAAGTATGCTCTAGAACTGTCAGTTTCGTTTATCTCTTCAGCAAGAGTGTCTGCATGCTCTTCTTGAAGGAGCTTGATTCTCTTACGAAGGCCCCGTGACAGCATGGACATTTTTTCGTAATTCGCATCTTTTGGCGTTAAGCTTAACTCCAAAAGATGCGATTTGACGTCGTGTCAAATAATTTTGACTTGAAATAATCGAGATTTATCCCCAAATTGCATCTTTTGGCGCTAAGCTTAACGCCAAAAGATGCCGTTTGACGGATAAAGTCGTAAAATCTTAAAATGCGTTTTCAAATGGCATCTTTTTGAGTTAACCTTAACCCCAAAAGATGCGATTTGGGAAATACTTTCGCGCGAAATTTCAAAATTCTTCTTCCGAATTCTTGAATTGCTGCATTTTGCAAATCAGCTGATATTTGTAACTTTAAAAAATAACTGTAACTTATATATTTATACAGGTCCCCGGTTTAACAAGCATTCAGGATAGAACCAGCAGCGGTTAATGACACTGAAACAGAGATGAAACACAGTAAGAACAGCAGAAAGAGTGGAGTGCGATAAATATCTTCTTTTCTTCTGCAGTCTGCACTGGTTACTGATACTGATTACTGGAATCGGTTATCTAATCGAAGCCTAGCCTCTTTGTAACTGGCAAGTGATTTTCCGGATTCAATTTTCAGATAGTCCTTTTTAGCTAGTCGTGAATTCCGTCTTTACTCCATTGTATTTGTACACTGTACAGACAGTTCTAATTA